ATGTTTAATCTTATCACTAAGAATTCTATCATAAAATAACTCATTCAAGATTGATAATTCATGTAGACTAGGTATGTTAACTCAGCCACATTGTTCAAACATTCAGGATTATTTTATTCCGTGATATTTCTGGACAAACAGAAATCAATTACATTTAGGGAAAGCACAGAACATGAAGTGATTAAGATGACAGTGGAGTACTTTCTTCATAGGCAAATGGCTAGTGAGCCGGCAATGAAGTGCAGATAAGATTATTACATATATGCAAAAATCATTAAGCAAATTTGGCTATAAACCAGACAGAAATCAAGGCACACCAAAAATCAGTTTGGCAAAAAGTGCTGGAACAGCTCATAAAAAGTCTTGAATTTCACAGACTTAAAATCTGATTTGATATGAAAAGACCACCTTAGGCTCTAAATTGCTGATGGAAATGATTACATTTCTTCTAAGTGGCCATGGAATTATGCAGTTGGTTCTGGTGGGAAAGTCTGGAAGCAGACAGGAAAGCTGTTTAGAAGGATGATCACTATGGTAGTGAAAAAGAACAGATCCAGTGGTGGCAGTCATTTGCTCTTTTTCCCCCCTCTATTTTTTTATTCACTGCATCTCAGGAGCACTTCCATATCTTGTTAGTCAGCATTTCTGATCCTATTGAATTTTATGAACGTGTTTCTGAGAGAATACAGTTTGTTTTCTTGTTCAGTTTTGTCATTCTCAGAATGTTATTTATCTAACTTAAGCCTCCTTGGGACAATTTTTTACTGTTCTCACAATATATATTTTCTAAGCTTAATGTTACTTAAGCATGTTTTCTACAAGTCCGTAAAAAAAAAAATCACATGCCTTAACTCCATCCTCAGAGACATGACTTGAGTTAAACCTATTCCTGTAACAGGTACTGTCCTTTATTTTAGCTGGGTGAGTGGTATTTTCAGAAAAGCAGTTTTCCTCCACACTCTGTCAGGTACCACATAAGCTAATTTTGTTCTATCAGAGCTTCCCTACCTTACTCAGGAATATTCCTCAAAGCCAAGGCTGTCCCAGCTCCAAAACTGATGTAGGACTATACAAGACAATTGGAAGTCAAGTGCTTACTTAAGTTTTTACCACTATGTGTCAAGCACTGTTCTACCCACCTTCAATCATCCCCAAAATTGTTCTGGAAATCCAGTCATCTGATCTGTCAGCCTGAACCCCATTCTCTCTTTGAGAAAGGCTCCTGTGAGAAATTCCATTGCCCTTAATCCTGTGTACTTTCATTCTCATGGTCAACTGTGGCTCCCACCTGTACTGAACTCTTGATCTCACACATGTCTTGCAGAGGTCTTGCATATGCCTGCTTCTTTGTTCTAAACAGAGCTGCTTTCCTTGACTTCCCCCAAACCACACAGACAATGCAGTGCTCTGATGTGTTACACTGTTGAAAAGTTAACAACTAAATATTGTAAATTAGGTATCTATGGTTTTTAAAGTTCTTGGCCACAAAGCCACCAGGGAATTTTATATCTTTCTCCAGAGGATCTAGCCTCCTATCTATATTGTATGGCCTTTTCTCCAACTCCACGCTTCCTTGTCTTTCTTCCTGACATTCCTCCTCCCACATCTGTGTTCACTTCTTTATGCAGAACTGCTTGGTTCTCTCTTTGTACTGCAGTCTCCTTCTAGACTACACTCTCAAGGCCTCACCTTCCACACTCACAGAAGTTTATCAAGGCATTTTCCTAAAAACAGACAGTTCTGTAAGTAGAACTGTAGTAGTGGTGTTTAATGATATTTTCTAAAACACACACACACACACACACACACACTTCATTTAAAAAATAAAGCAACAAAGTATCAAAAGAGGTAAGTTTCACAACTCACATAGCTTGATAATGCAAGTCACTTTAAACAGTTTTGTCCTTTTGAAACACAATGTTACAATAATTCTTTAAAAATACCTAATAAAGTATCATGAACAGAGAAACCATTTCTGTAAGTAGCCCTGTCTTATTCATTATAATTTCACCTGATGTGCAGTATAAACTCGACCATTTCATCTGCATAAACTCAAGAAGTTAAATAAGATTTTCTCCCTAAGTTATTTACATATCTGAAAAACAAATTTTAAAAAATTTAATTAATAATTAAGGGGGCCTAGGTGGCTCAGTTGGTTAAGCCTCCGGACTTCTGCTCAGGTCATGATCCCACAGCTCGTGAGTTCAAGCCTCCCCCTGGGCTCTGTGCTGACAGCTCAGAGCCCGAAGCCTGCTTCGGATTCTGTGTCTCCCTCTCTTTCTGCCCCTCCCATGCTCAGGCTCTGTCTCTCTCTCTCCTTCAAAAATAAATAAACATTAAAAAATTTTTAATTAATAAAAATATTTTAGAGTAGTTTTAGGCTCACAGAAAAGTCAAACCAAATACAGAGAGTTCCCATATACCCCCATCCGCCTACACACACACTGCCTCCCCCACTATCTATACCCTATACCTGTGGCACCTTTGTTACAATTGATGAACCAACATTGACACGTCATAATCACTCAAAGCCCACAGTTTATATTGAGGTTCACTCTTGGTTTTGTATATTCTAGGGTTTTGACAAATGTATGATAACATGCATCTATCCTGCATCTATCATACAAAATAGTTTCACTGCCTTAGAATTCCTCTGTGCTTCACCTATTCATCTGTCCCTGCCTTCTAACCCCTGACTACCACTGATCCTTTAACTGTCTCCATAGTTTTGCCTTCCCCAGAATATTGTATATTTGAAATCATACAGTATGTGGCCTTTTCAGATTGGCTTCTTTCACTTAGTAATATGCATTTAAGGTTTCTCCATGTCTTTTCATTGCTTGATAGCTCATTTCTTCTTTCTTTTAAGATTTACTTTTAAGTAATTTCTATACCCAGCATGGGACTCAAACCTGCAACTCTGAGATCAAGAGCCTCACATTCCACATTCCAGCCAGGTGCCCTGATAGCTCATTTCCTCTTAGCATTGAATAATATTCCATTTTCTGGAGGTACCACAGTTCAAGTTTTCTTTCACTTACTGATGAACATCTTGAATGCTTCCAATTTTGGCAATTAGAAATAAAGCTGTTATATACATCCATATACAGGCTTCTGGTGAACGTAAGTTTTTAACTCTTTTGAGTAAATACCAAGGAGTGCAATTGCTGGATCAGAGGGTAAGAGTATGTTTAGTTTTTGTAAGAAACTGCCCAACTATCTTCCAAAGTGGCTATAGCATTTTGCACTCCCAAGACTGACTGAGTGCTCCTACTGCTCACTCCTTATCAGCATTTGGTGCTGTCCGTTTTGGATTTAGCCCATTCTAATAGGTGTGTAGTGGTACCTCCTTATTGCTTAATTTGCAATTCCTTAAGGACATATGATGCAGAACACCTTTTCATACACTTACTTAATATCTGTATATCTTCTTTGGTGACGTATCTGTTCAGATAACACTGTTTTTTAAATAAAACTTTTATAATATCCATCATCTTGCATTGTCATTGACCCTGCTTTCATTTTTTTTATTTTTTTAAGTTTATTTATTTATTTTGAAGACAGAGAGAGTGGAGAGGGGCAGAGAGAGGAGAGAGAGAGAATCTCAAGCAGGCTCTGTGCTGTTAGTATGAAGCCCTATGAATGGCTCAATCTCACAATCTGATCTGTGACATGGTAACCTGAGCAGAAATCAAGAGTCAGATGCTTAACTGACTGAACCACCCAGATGTCCTGACCCTGCTTTTAATATTAAAATAAATCTACTCCAGCTCTCTCATCTTACAAATAAGAAAACTGAGTCAGTAGAGGTGAAAGTTGAATCCATGAAAGTAGCTACAAATTTAGAGACAGAAGAAGTAGGCTGAGGACTGAGTTTGTCAGGGGAAAGAAATCAGTGAAACATGAAGTAAAGAGGTGGCCAGGGAGAAAGAAGTAGAACAAGAAGAACAGAGTTTTATAGGAGTCCAGGGAGGCTAGAGGTGAAGCAAACTTTGTTTGTTCATTTGCTTTGAGAAAGAGTGTGGCCAGCAACAATAGGCCTCTATGTACTGCAAATAATCATTCCTCCTTAGGAGGCAGCAGGGCACAGTGGAAAGAACATTAGACTGTCTCTGTCCCATAAACTGGGGCACTTAACTTTTAAAAATTTCTGGTTTGTTCTAGTTTGTTTATCTGTAAAATGAGACTATGTTTCTTCTAGCTTCCAAACTCCATGTTTTCTTTCCTACGGTCTTTTCTCTTTTACTTTTTCTAATTATTGGATATCATCTTTTTTTTTCTGATAATTTGGTAATTTATTTAGCATCCACCTCGCTGTGGCCAGTTATATCTCTAGTGATTGACCATCTAACCAAGGTGTTATAATAATTCTTTAAAAATATCTAATAAAGTATCATGAACAGAGAAACAATTTCTGTAAGTAGCCCTCTCATATTCATCACAATTTCCCTTGATGTGCAGTACAAATTGAAATTGACCATTGCATCTGCATAAACTCAAGAAATTTAAAAAGATTTTCTCCCTAAGTTATTTATATTTCTGCAATGTCCTATTGGCTTGGATACAACTAGAATTTGGAATTAAATAATTTTTGGAGTTTAAAGTATCTATTGGCAAAGCTATCTCTAATCCACTGTTTTCAAAGAAATGAATACCAAGAAGAAGCAGTCTTTACCCAAGTGAGAATTTCACAGCTTAAATTTACAAACAAGCTATCAAATTGTTTTATTGTCTTGAATAAAAAGAGTATAAGTCAGCTAACATATAATTACAACTAGTAATTGCTACTATTACCATATTAGTTTTATTTATAAAATAGTACTTCTCCCTTCATTAAGGCATCCACTGCTTTGTGTAAACAAAATGTTACGTGGCTATATTATGCAGCCCAACATGTGAATACCAAGAATAAGCCAGATAATATCAACCAAGGCCAGTGATGTGAAATGGATTAAAGAAAAAATAAGTGCAGTGAGAGAAGATTTAAACCAAAAGCTTACCTGACAAACTGAAGTGTCCAACAGGTCAGTCAAGTGTGTATACAGAATCAGGTGGTTTCCAATTCAACAGCAAAACATAGGACAGCCCAGCCTAACAACAAGATGATATAGTAGAGAGGATGTTGCACATTTATTTTCCCTTAGAGAGTTGAGATGTACTTGGGAATACTTTTTCTGTACTAATTTGTAACTTTCAAGATACAGCTATATTTATCAGACTCTGGAACTCTGTGTAAGATAGGGAGGAGAAAAGTAAATAAACCTGACTGGCCAAAGTCCCCATGGACACAGCATACCCTATGCCCACTATCCTGTTCTACCTGTATCATTTAAGGTACCAGAAGATAAACATCTTTAACCTGTAAGGAAGCAAAACACAAACCTGGAAATAATAAGAAAAGAGAGGAGAGCTATTTCCTGTGTCTGAGGTATTTATAAGATAAGGTAGGATATTATCTTCATTTCTGGAAAGTCTGAATCCAATTACTTTTTCTAAAAAGAAAAAAAAGTCCTTCATATACTATTAGATACTTCTCTGACTTTCCTTTTTCTAGTCACTCACTCATCCTTTAACAGTTTGTCAACCAGTTCCCAGTGAATCAATTTTTTGAAGGTCATTAATAACCCTCTAAATATTATATTCAATAGACATCTGTACCCTCAATTTTTTTATAGGTCTGTATCATTTGGCATTATTCATCACCTTTCCCTTTTTGAAAGTTTTATATCCTCTGGTTCACAACATTGCACTATTTTAATCTTCCTCCTACCTCTTTGAGCCTTTTCTGCCTCCTTTGATCTCATCACTTATTTATATATTTTCCACAGGTAATTAACTAGAAAGTATTACAACAAAGTACAATATAATTCAGTATCTCCAGCCTCTTTTTGAACAAGCCAAGGACCTTAAGATGCTTTAACCAAACGCAATGGAACGTCTCTCATCCTCTTTTGTTATAATGTCTAGAATATTTTTTTAGTTTCAATTTTTGTTTCACCATCCTCACACAAACAAGAAATCATTTTCACTAATTAAATTAAAAAAAATTTTTTTAACATTTATTTTTGAAAGACAGAGAGAGAGCACTAGTGTGGGAGGGGCAGAGAGAGAGGGTGACACAGAATCCAAAGCAGGCTCCAGGCTCTGAGCTGTCAGCACAGAGCCTGACATAGGGCTCGAACTCACGAACCACAGATCATGATCTGAGCCGAAGTCAGACGTTTAACCGACTGAGCCACCCAGGTGCCCCAGTAATTAAATTTTTCAACATGTTACCAATTTCTGTAATTACTGTTGTTTCTTCCATGCCATGCTTTCCTTTTGGACTTAGTAATATCACAGAGGCATAGTCTATGATAATATTTTAGCGAGAAATCTATAGGTAGTAAACTCCTTTAAGTCTTTGTATGTCTGAAAATATCTCTATTTTCCTTCATTATTGAGGAAAAGTTTAACACACACTTCTAGGTTAATTTATTTTTTTGCCCCTCAGCATTTGGAATATATTGCTCCATTCTCCTCTGACAATTTGGTTTTTTAGGTGTTCAGAACTGCCATCGTAAGCTGGATCCCGTCAGACACTCCATATCATACAGGCAGGCAGCCCAGCAGAAATTCAGCCCAGCAGAAATGAAAAGGCATAAACAAGCTGCATGAACAGGTATCCCAGACTCCCATGCCACACAGCAAGGCTGCACCAGAATACCATTATGAGCCCACGCCAATGGTTACATTGGTGGTTCTTGTATGAACAGCTAAAGGAGGAGGAAAAAACTTGAGCCCTTATATATAGATTTATGGATAGACTGGCTTGATAAAGAAAGTTCCAGTGGGAAATGGAAAACAACTGCATGACAACACTGCTCAGTGTGTCCTTGAATGATAATGGAGAGCAAAAATTCCTCAAAGGGTAAAGCTTTGGGCTTTTACCTAATGATCCACTTTGTGTGGAGCTCAATAAATTAGTTAAGGCTAAAAGCTACACAAGTCAACTTTGAATTCTTCTCCTCTTATCCATTATTATTAGTTAATGTTTTTAGTTTTAAGAAAACAGAAAACTCAGTCAAGCTACTTCTGTAAAAAAAAAAAAAAGTGGGGGAGATTTTATGACAAGGATACAAGAATATTTTCTAGAACTCTAGGGCAGGAATGAAACCAGGCCTAAAGAAAACTCTAGAAACAGAGATTAGAATTGCATCTGTACTCTTCCTCCATCTCCTCTCTGTTCCTCTCTGGATGTATGATTTCATCTCTTTCTCTCTCATTTTCTCTCCGTTTCTCTATACACTGTCATTTTCTGCTTCTCTACTAGAAATGGTATGTATAAAATGGCCAATCTACATCTGTCAAAGTTTTATATGTATGTATGAGTGTATGTCATGACCCACCATCTGGGAAACTTAATTTTAAAATTTGGTGTAGGGGTGCCTGGGTGGCTCAGTTGGTTAAGCGTCTGACTTCAGCTCAGGTCATGATCTCACAGCTCATGGGTGTGAGCCCCACATCAAGGCTCTGTGGTGACAGCTCAGAGCCTGGAGCCTGCTTCGGTTTCTGTGTCTCCTGCTCTCTCTGACCCACCCCCATTCATGCTCTGTCTCTCTCTCTCTCTCTCTCAAAAATGAATAAACATTAATCGCTTCTCGGCCTTTTGGCTAAGATCAAGTGTAAAAATGAATAAACATTAAAAAAATAATACTAATAAATGAAATTTGGTGTAAATACAGATTCCCGGGTTAAAAACAAAAACAAACAAAGCCAAAAAACACCTCTAACTGTCACAGCTTGAATGAGGTGCCTATTCCAGATCCAAACAAATTATGTAGAGAGTCATCTTATTCAGAATGGTTGCTAGAAGCTTTGCCTTGACTCTGAGGAAGAATTGGGTCCTGATAAGATAAATAGATAAACTCATCCTCATTTATTCTCTCAGTTATCCTGGCTGAAAACCTCAAAGTCCAATTTGGCTTATCCTTCTCTCTTATTTATTATATAGTTCTGTCACCAAGAACAATTTCATTCTTCTCTCAAAATTACTCTTTTTTTCTATTCTACCTTCATTTCCACTGCTTTATTATTTGCCAAAATGATAGATCCAAAAAAAAGTTAGTTCACTATAGTTAAATTTGCATTTCTTTAACTACTGGTGGAAATAAATATTTTTCATTTTTCCCTCATGTTATAGACTAGTTGTATTTCTGTTTCATTGGTTTGTGTTATACGAATTATGTGTCTCCCTCTTCTCATTCATATTTTGAAGTACTGATCCACCACCCCCCCCCCATGTGACTGTACTTAGAGATAGGGCCTTTACAGAAGAAATTAAGGTTAATTTGGGTTACAAGTATGGAGCTCTAATCAATAGGTGCTCTTATAAGAGGAAGAAATGCCAGGGAAGCTTGCCTACATAAGAAAGACCATGGAAAGACACAGTGAAAAGGCTTTCTGCAAATCAGGGAGAAGCCTCAGGAGACATTAAAACTGTCAACATCTTATTCTTGGACTTCTAGTCTCCAGAATTGTGAGAAAATAAATTTCTGCTAAGCCACCTAGTCTGTGGTATGTTGTTACAGCAGGCCTAGCTGACTAACACAGTTTCCCTGTGTTCATATTCCATTTTTCTTTTCTTATCTTCTGGTGAGAGCTCTCTTAATATTAAGGCTATTAGCCTTTCATACAAAATAAATGTTACAAATATTTCTCCCAGTTTATTTTGTACCCCCTCACCTTTCTCTTTTGTTTTGTTTTATATACTGAAGTTTTTTTTAGTGTAGTAAAACTTTTCAAGCCTTTCATTATGGTTGCTACATTTGAAATTGTGCTTAGAAAGTTCTTCCATTGTTACAGCATACTTATGGTCACCTATATTTTCTTCCAATTCTTTTTTTGTCTCATCTGAATTTTACTTTCAACGTATGATGTAAGATACAGATCAATTCTTTTTTCATACAGCTAACCAATTATCCCTGTACCACTTACTCATTTTCCCATTTATTTTAAATATATTATCATATCCTAAATACTTATATGCACTTAAAACTTCTGTTGCTTTTTATTTATGATATTCATTTATTCAATAACTCATTTTGGAAATTATATTGTTCCACATTTATCATTAAGAAAAAAGAATTTTCCACCAAATTCAAGAAGCACTATTTTTGGGTGTCTCAAATGATAAAAATTACAAAAATACTAAGGAGAAAAGTTTTTAAATTAAAATATTATCACATACCTGTTTTTAGTTATAAATAAACATCAAAATAGATACAAAATTGCTTTAACCCAAATGAAAGAGGGAAGGGGGTACCATCTGATTTACTTGCATTTTTTGATCTAACTAAATGATAAGAAAAGAAAAACATAGAGGAGAAGCTTCATGAGGATTGTCAGTTGGCCTTTTCAGGTTCCTTTCAAGAGAACAGTTGTCTTTTTAATTAGTTATCTTTAAAAGGTTTTCTTTTTTTTTTTCTTCATGGGACAGGAGAAGTAATATCTATGTAAAAATATCTTTTACATACTTAGTGGTAAGAATAAAACCTACCTAATGGGGATCAGTGGGTTGAAATTAGTGTTGTTCTCTCAAGAAAGGGGTATAGATAAGATCTAAGTTGCACAGACCCAGCAATGTTCATGTTGAATGTGCTCTGACACCAGTTGAGTCTCTCCTGTCAATATTCAAAGCCAGAATCATTCCAGGGATTTTAAAGAAAATTCAAAAGATGAAATCATGTCAAATCTATTACTATTGGCTATTCGTTATTTTCTCTTTGCTTTCCATAAGGCAAGCACTTAAAACCACACTGTAAACGTGAAAAGTATTGCCAACATGACTTTAGAAACAATGACACTGAAACTCGAGGAATCATTAACTCCCCAAGATTAAACTAGCAGAAAGCAGTTCATTGCAACAGAACTCTTTCCCGTACCGTGGCGCTGTGCAGCCTCAAAGAGCGGTCTGTGCCCAAGACGAACCAGTAAAGTCAAATTAGACAAGGCTGGGGACAATGGCAGACCGGCGTCAGAGAAATGTAAAAGCACTCTCACTCTGCCCAGCCTGGCCTCTCCGGAGCTTCTTCGGAGGTAAGCTAGATAGGGGGACAGTCACGGACGGTGGGCATGGAAAGGCGGCGCTAAGAGGGAGGGCGCAGAGAAAACTCACTAAGATTTTTGGAAGCCGTAACGTAAACACGTTGAAAACTATTAATAACGTGCCCAGCCAACATCTGGTAAAGGAGACACTGCAAAATCCTCGCAGCTCGCATCCATAACTGTGGGCCCTCCAAGCCCATCCCAGCAGCCTTTGCACCACGCACAAAAAGCCTGGCGCGGTTTGGCTCCTTCGGCCGCCGTAGTCTCTAAGTTGCTATGGAAACCCAGCTACCCTCGCCATGTCTTTGCAGCAGGCCCCTCAGTCGCGGGTGTTCGTGGAACTGGTTCCCTGGGCTGACCGGGGCCGGGAGAACAATGTGGTCTCGGGGGCTGAGTTGCTGCCAGGACCCCGACGCCACGTCCCTTCAATACAGGCCCAAACTGCGACCCGCGAGGTGCACGTTAGCGGCACCGCTGAGGTGTCTGCGAGCCCTGACCGGGCGCAGGTGGCGGTGCTAGTGAGTAGCACGAAGGAGGCGGCGGCCGAGGCCAAGAAGAGCGTTTGCCGCCGCCTGGACTACATCACACAGAGCCTCCAGCAGCAAGGTGTGCAGGTGAGAGCTTCGTTGCGGAGGGGCATCGGGCGGGACCGCAAAAAGCGGAGGCAGAGTTCCAGGCTCCGACGGGTGTCAGTTGGAGGTGGCGAGGGTCTTGACCTTATCTCATCGGTATTACAGAGCGACAGGACCTGGCGGAGTAGAACTTTCGGCCCATTTTTCTTCTAGATGAAAGCAGTTATTGGTCCCAGTGGCTTATGAAATAAAAGAATGTAAATGGAGTAGGTTTTTATTTGGCGACATTTGCCGCAGTAATTTTGTATTTTACCTTGATATGGTTAACTGTTAGACCTGACACATTAGATGAAAGTGCTTGCCTAAGTATACTAGACACTAATATTTTTTTTGTTTGTTTTTATTCCGCACCAGGCAATTAGCAAGTGAAAGCATGCTTCCTCCCAACTATGTAAAGATTTGCATGGAGTGGTTGGTTCCTCAGTATTTTTCGCAAACAGTAACGTGAGGAGGAAAATTGCATGCATTATCGTTTAACGAGCACTCAAAACATTTCGGCAAATTTTTTAGTTTTAACTTTAAAAACAAGCCAGTATATTGTAGATGCCACATAAATGAAATACCTTTACTTACCAGAAATGTCCATAAAACAAATCCCTAAGTAAATCTACCTAAACTCTGCTTGTAAGAAAAGGAGAAAAAAATGAACCAGCTTTTTATTTCATCTGAACAACAATTCTGTTAGACAGGTTTTAATATCCCCATTTAGATTCAAAGAGGTTACATAATGCTCTAAGCTCTAGTCAGGGCGGTGTTTGAACTCTTGTCTTCCTGAGACTAAACTCTACATTGCTTCCAACCATAGTTGGCCCCAGATAATTAGAAAAAGGAAATGAAGAAGCCACAGAATGAGTCGACTATCTCATTTCCTTCATTTTACATAGTATGACTCAAAAGGCCAGAGTTGCGATTATCCAAAGTAACATGAGTTCATAAAAGCGCTTCTAGTCTATTGTTAGAAATGGCACACCCCCAAAAAGCAATTTTATTGCTTTAAGGAAAAAAATACATTTGTACTGCATTTACAGACATAGAATTATTTTAAAAGTCATTTGGAACAGATGTCTCCATGATTTTAGAGTTTAAAAGAATTCAAAGGCTAATTATAGACAATGTGATTTAAGTGGTTTAATATGTGGAAAAAATTTCCTCGTAAAAACTATTGCCAGTGCTACAGTCCTGTTTGAATAATATAACTAATTCTTAAGTATACCGAGCTCACATGGCTATAACTTCTAACATGGAAAGCAATAAATTACTGCATCTAACTTAATTACATTAAGGTTCAGTGTTCAAGACAGAAAACGTCAGTAATCTCCCAGTTATCTCTGCTAATGGAAGAAAGCAGTCATGTAGACAATTTATTCAGTAGATGATGCAAAAAACAATTTGTATTACTTTTCAGGATGAATTATAATGGGTTTTCACAAAGGTATTCATTTTAGACTTTGGAATTGAGGGTTTAAAAACATCACTCCCCTACTTTAGGGTCTCCTCATATCCCAGGTTCCTTTGCTTAATAGATGGAACCTAACTCTGTTTCCTCTCTTCTCTCTCCCCTCCTTGACTAGCTGACTCCCAGTTTTTCCTTTAAGAACTAGCCCAAGGGGCGCCTGCCTGGCTCAGCCAGCGGAGCATGCAACTCTTGATCTCAGGGTTCGTGAGTTCGAGCTCCATGTTGGGTGTGATTGCTTAAAAATAAAATCTTGGGGCGCCTGGGTGGCTTGGTCGGTTGGGCGTCTGACTTCGGCTCAGGTCATGATCTCACAGTCCGTGAGTTCAAGCCCCGCGTCGGGCTCTGTGCTGACCGCTCAGAGCCTGGAGCCTGTTTCAGATTCTGTGTCTCCCTCTCTCTCTGCCCCTCCCCTGTTCATTCTCTGTCTCTCTCTGTCTCAAAAATAAATAAACGTTAAAAAAAATTAAAAAAAAAAAAAAGAAATAAAATCTTAAGAAAAGGAAAAAAGAATCAGCCCAAGCTTACTTTCTTGGCATTCCTTTTCTAACATAACTCTAGTCTCTGCCGTACCACACTCTATTCCCTACTTATAATAAAACGTATCCCTCTGTATTTTAAATTGTTGCTTTACTGGTATCTCCTTCATATTCTAAACCTCTCGAGCACAGACCATTTTCTATCTCTTGCTCTGCATTCAAGGGTTACGCTTCACACATATCACATAGTATATACTCAAAACATGGTTTTTGAGGGGTGCCTGGGTGGCTCAGTCAGTTAAGCATCCCGTTTCGGCTCAGGTCATGATCTTGCAGTTTGTGAGTTCAAGCCCGGTGTCAGGCTTTGTGCTGACAGCTCGGAGCCTGGAGCCTGCTTTGGATTCTGTGTCTCCCTCTCTCTTTCTTCCCTCACTCACACTCTGTCTCTTTTTTTGTCTCTCTGTCTCTCTCTTTCAAAAATAAATAAACTTAAAAAAATGGCTTTGAATGACTAAAAAAAAATGCATGAAGCACTAAAACTATTCAACTATATTATAGATCAACTACATTATAGATTATTTTATGATCATATATAGTTTCACATATGAAGGCATACCCTCATTTTCAGCGTTGTAGTTTTTTAATGCTTATTCATTTTTGAGAAAGAGAGAGAGGGAGGGAGAAAGAGTGAGTGGGGTTGGGGGGCAGAGAGAGAGAGGGAGACACAGAATCTGAAGCAGGCTCCAGGCTCTGAGCTGTCAAGAGTCAGACGCGGGGCTCGAACCCATGAACCGTGAGATCATAACCTGAGCCAAAGTCAGAGGCTCAACCGACTAAGCCGCCCAGGTGCCCCTTCATGGAGAAATGTTTTAAAGATACTAAGCAATATTTATTCAACCATCAAACATTTTTTAAGCATTTCCTGTCACTGTTTAATTTTAAATAGCACTTACATGATAGCAATTATTTTGTTTTCCAATGTGTATGTTCCTTTCGTAGGTACAAAGTCCAATATTTGCCTACTCACAATTGTGGAGTTTTTTGTTAAATGTGTAATAGATGCATATTGCTGGGCACCAGAAATGGAAGTGACTCTGTCAGATCTTGAATAGTGACCAAAATGAAAGCATTCCAATTCCGCACTAGAATGCAGCAAGTATGTGTTCAGAGCACTATATACAGTTCATTATGGCTAGGACACAGGAGTACTTGGGAAAAATGGACAAGAACTGAGATAAGACTGAAGAAGAAGGCTGTAGGCAGAACATGGAAGAAGGCCTTGTTTGCTGCATCGAGGAGTTTTGAATGTTATTGGTGATAAAAAAAAAAACCGCTTATTACTGCTAGATCTTTTACAAATGTTCTCTCATTTGATACTCGTTCCCATCATATGAGACTGGCATTTCAATTGCTATTTATAGATGAGAACTCTTGGGATCAAAGTGATTATTGGCAGGTCACTTGCCCAAGGTCACACAGCTAGGAAGTGACAGAGTTTCAACTCCAGTCAAGAATTTCGACCTCAAAGCTCTTGCTCTTAACCACTATAGTATGTCTCTGCTTTATTGTCTTGGCAGTGGGTGATTGAGTTTTAAGTAGGGGATGTAGCAGATGCTATTGATACCCCACACTTGTATCCCTTGGCACTTCACATTTGTGTGCATACAGGCCCAACTTCCATCTGCCAACATGGAGCATCCTTTGCCAGTTTTTCCTGGCTGCAGCTTTTCCTGGCTCCACCCACAAATGGGCCAGCCAGTAGTGTCAGAGGATTAACAGCCCCTCCCCAAGCTCTAACAGCCTTCAGCTAAGAAGTGAGGGAGGTGAATGGAAGGAGACCTTACCTCTTGGGCAGGATAGCTCTGAGGCATATGTTCTGCCCTGGCTCCCAGAATTTCTCTGCAGGAATAAGTTCCAGTTGCCCACAGTGGTGACCGCTTGACAATGCACACTTTAATGGCTTGCTTTCCTTTTGTTTCACTTCCCATTCCCCTATGGTGCTTCCAAGGATTATCTTTTTTTTTTTTAATTTTTTTTTTTTTAACCCCCGCCCGCCCCCCGGGGAGAGGGCAAAGAGACCGGGAGGCAGAGGATATGAAGCAGGCTCCATGCTGACAGCAGAGAGCCCAGTGGGACCTGGAACTCACAAAACCATGAGATCATGATCTGAAATGAAGTCGGCTGAGCCACCCAGGCGCCCCTCTTGGGATTGCCTTAAAAATTAACTGCTTGTACTCACATCCATGTTTCGGAGTCTATTTCTAGGTGCATTCAAATTAAGATAGGGAGTAGTAGGAATAGATTGAGCATATCATAGTTTTTCATTATTAAAAATGGTGACAAAATGAATAACCTTGTTGCTAGGTATTTATACATGTTTTTAATTATGTTTTTGGACATTAATTCCTGGCTTATGCATATTTTTAAGGCTTATGAAAAATTACAGTGTAGGACAATAAGTTTACAACTTCACTACAAATATATCTTTGGCATAGTGGGCATTATTTTCTTTTTTAACTTTGCCAAGTCAGTAGCCAAAAAAAATGTTACTGTCATTTCCTGTTTCTTTTTTTTTTTTTTTTTTACATTTGAGGTTAAACTTTTTTTCATGTAAGTTGCCAGTTCATAAAACTTTGTCTGCTTTTTCTACTCTTTTATTAATTTATGGGAACTTTTTAAAAATTAGTTTCAGCTGTACAGTATAATGATTCAACAATTCTGTACATTTCTCAATGCTCATCAGTGTAATACTCTTAGCTTCCTTTATCAATATCCCACCCCCCCACTTCTCTGGAAACCACCAGTTTATTCTCTGTAGTTAAGAGTCTTTTTTGGTCTCTTCTTTTCTTATTTGTTCATTTGCTTTGTTTCTTAAATTCCACAAATGAGTGATATTATATGGTGCTTGTTTTTCTGGCTGAGTTATTCTACTTACCATTAAATCCTCTAGATCCATTCATATTGTTGCAAATGGCAAGATTTCATTCTTTTTTATAGGTAATAGTTCAGTGTGTGTGTACATATAAGTGTCTCACATCTTTATGGGTGAACACTTAGGTTGCTTCCATATCTTGACTACTGTAAATAATGCTGCAGTAAACATAGGGGTGCAGATATCTTTTTCAGTTAGTGTTTTCATTTTCTTTGGGTAAATATCCAGTAGTGGAATTACTGGATCATATGGTAATTCTGTTTTTAACTTTTGAGCTCCTTCCATACTGTTTTCCACAATAGTACACCAATTTACATTCTCACCAACAGTGTACAAGGGTTCCTTTTTCTCCCTATCCTCACCAAAATTTGTTACTTCTTGCATTTTTTATTTTAGCCATTCTGACAGATATAAGGTGTTAACGCATTGTGGTTTTAATTTACATTTCCCTGATGATGAGTAATGTTGAGCATCTTTTCATGTGTTTATTGGCCATCTGTATGTCTTCTTTGGAAAAATGTATGTTCAGTTCCTCTGCCCATTTTTTAACTGGATTATTTGTTTTTATGGTGTGAAGTTGTATAAGTTCTTTATCTATTTTGGATATTAACCCCTTATCAGATATATCATTTGCAAATTATCTTCTCCCATTCAGTAGATTGCCTTTTTGTTTGGTTGATGGTTTCCTTCACTGTGCAAAAGCTTTTTACTTTGGTATAGTCCCAATAGTTTAATTTTGCTTCTGTTTCCCTTGCCAAATAAGACATATATAGAAAAATGTTTCTATGACTAATATCAAAGAAATCATTGCCTGTGTTTTCTTATAGGAAATTTATGGCTTCAGGTCTCACATTTACGTCTTTAATCCATTTTGAGTTTATTTTTGTGTATGGTCTAATGAAAGTGGTCTGGTTTCATTCTTTTGCATGTAGCTATCCAGTTTTCCCAATACCATTTGTTAAAGAGACTGCCTTTTTCCCATTGTATATTCATGCCCCCTTTGTTGTAGATTAGTTAATTAATTAACTGTCATAGGCCCTATAAGTGGGGTTTATTTCTGGGTTCTCTATCCTGTTCCATTGATCTGTGTGTCTGTTTTTGTGCCAACATCTACTGTTTTGATTACTGCAGCTTTGTAGTATATCCTGAAATCTGGGATTGTGATACCTCTAGCTTTTTCTTTTTCAAGATTATTTTAAGGGAACCTTAAGATTATCAATAACTCTCTCATTATTGCAAATATTTTCCCAATTTCATATTTGTCATATTTGTTTACAGTATTGAACATTCAAAATTTTTAAATTTTATTTAGCTAAAATCACTAATCTTGTCAGTATGTTTCTTGCCTTTGGTATAATACTTAATTGGGTCCTTCCCAAGCCTAAGGTTATATAGCTGTTAACTAATATTTCCTGGAACTTTTAGGGACCCTTTATACTACATTAAATATTTGCTGTGTTGGAATTTATTTTGGTGTAAGGAAAAGGGCTTTGTTTTCTCTTAAATGGGTCAGTGGCTCTACACTTATTTTATGTAACTTTTAGGGAAGGTTTAAAACATCAGGCAAACCAGTTCTTTCTGCATTCTCTGTTATTCTGAGTTTAATAAGTTCAGGTTTCTACTTTATGTTTTAGAGTAATTGCATTTGGTAGCCAAACATTGAGTAATCATACTCTTGTACTTTCTGCTTCAGGCAGAAAATGTAACTGTGACAAAGGATTTTAGAAGAATGGAAAATGCTTATCACATGGAAGCAGAGGTATGTACTTATCATGAAAAATAATTGGTAACAGCATGATTTTGTGGATACAATCTACATTTATTTTTATTCTTGAACTGAAATGTATAGGAGGACTGCTTCTCATGATATTGATAAAAAATTATTTTTCTCAGGGCGCCTGGGTGGCTCAGTCGGTTAAGCGTCTGACTTGAGCTCAGGTCATGATCTCAGTTCGTGGGTTTGAGCCCCACATCGGGCTGTGTGCTGTCAGCTCAGAGCCTGCAGCCTGCTTCAGATTCTGTGTCTACCTCTCTCTCTGCTCCTCCCCCACTCATGTTCTGTTTCTTAAAAATAACAATCGAAAGAAAAGAATTTTTTTAATTATTTTTATTTTTATTATATATATATGTGTGTGTATATATGTATACATATTATATATGTGTGTATATGTGTATATACACATATTTTTTTTTAATTTTTTTTTAAAGTAATCTCTATACCCAACATGGGGCTTGAACTCACAATCTGGAGATTAGAGTCGTGTGCTCTTCTGACTGAGCCAGCCAGGCGCCCCTATATGAGCTTTTAAAATAAATTGTAGTGAGATATATTTAAAAGAAATTGTTTTGAAATGGAATAAAAATAGCAAGAAGGAAGAGCAGTTAATTGCCCCCTGAATGAAATTTTAGTAAAGATATCACCTAGTGAGCAGGAAAACACTATAGGAAATTTCTTCTCAGATAAAAAGCAAATAATGTCCTAACATAAGGATTGAAACACTTTTCAACCTTCTTTTCTTTCATAATGCAATTTTACTCTATTGTGCTAAGTTATCAGGGTTTTGTTTTTTGTTTTTGTTTTGTTTTGTTTTGTTTTTTACAAAAAGCACTTGGGACACCTGGCTGGCTCACTCAGTAGAATGTGTGACTCATGATCTCAGGGTTGTAAGTTTGATCCCCACATTGGGTGCAAGGTTACTTAAAAATAAAATCTTTAAGGGGTGCCTCAGTTGGTTAGGCATCTGACTTTTGATCTCAGGGATATGAGTTCAAGCCCCATGTTGGCCTCTGCACTGGGCATGATGCCCACTTAAAAAAAGAAAAATTCTTATAATTAACTAAAAAAAATAAAGACCACTCAACCTCTACCTGAATTAAAAAGAACAAAATATTTTTTGTACACTCAATGATAACATTTAATTTCTACAACTGCCTATACTTTTTACTTATTTTTAAAGATTTTATGATCAGGATTTTATGAAATCAGGTATGTTATAGTTGTGGTTAGGTTATAGGACTACGATTTGTTTCAGCATCCAAACATCTTGGGATTTGTGTGCTAGTTCCATGCTGCCTCCTCACAGGAAGCAAACAAGAATGGAGTTAGAGATAAACTCTTATTTATCTAGTCAGATAATCTTTTTTTTTTTAATGTTTATTTTTGAGAGAGAGAGAGAGAGAGAGAGAGAGAGAGAGAGAGAATGAGTACGAGTGGGGTAAGGAGCAGAGAGAGAGGGAGACACAGAATCCAAAGCAGGCTCCAGGCTCTGAGCTGTCAGCACAGAGCCCATTGCAGGCCAAACCCACAAACCATGAGATCATGACCTGAGCCAGCCGAAGTCAGCACTTAACCCACTGAGCCATGTAGGCGCCCCTCTAGTCAGATAATCTTTATGTTTAGAGGTGGGAAATATCTCAAAAAATCATCTAGTCCTACCAGATAATCTATTATTTTTATAATTTTAAGGGCGTGACTTCAAGTTCAGATAACTTGGGGTCTCAGACTTCCCAGTCATATTGAAAGAAAGAACGGAAATTAGAATCCTGCCTAGCTTCTTACCTCCTTGAAACAGTAATTTCTAAAATACACTGTTGCTCCAGTACTTAGTTTTATTTTTCCACTTAAAATTTAACTATCTCAAGGAATTTTAAAATTACTCATGATAATTTTAGAGATCCACATGGCAAAACTTATTTTATGGTAGTTGGGATTGAAAAATATCTTTCATAACAGGATGAAGAGGGGCATTAGGGGATGGACAAAATGTGTGAAGGGCAGTGGGAGATGCAGGCTTCCAGTTATAGAATGAATAAGTCACAGATATAAAAGGCACAGCAAAGGGGATATAGTCAATATTATTTTAATAGTGTATGGTGACAGATGGTAGCCACACTTCTGGTGAGCACAGCATAAACTATACACTTGGGAGGGCACCCAGCTGGCTCAGTAGGAAGAGTATGTGACTCTTGATCTCGGGGTTGTAAATTCCAGCCCCACGTTGGATATAAAGATTACTTAAAATAAAATCTGGGGGGAGGGGCGCCTGGGTGGCTCAGTCGATTAAGTGGCAGACTTCGGCTCAGGTCATGATCTCGCGGTCCGTGTGTTCGAGCCCCGCGTCGGGCTCAGTGCTGACAGCTCAGAGCCTGGAGCCTGTTTCAGATTCTGTGTCTCCCTCTCTCTCTGCCCCTCCCCCGTTCATGCGCTGTCTCTCTCTGTCTCAAAAATAAACAAACGTTAAAAAAAAAAAAATTTTTTTTTAAATCTGGGGGGAAAAAACAAGGTGTATATAGACTTGTTGAATCACTATGTTGTATACCTGAAACTAATGTAACATTGTGTGTCAAACTGTACTTTAATTAAAAAAAAATAAGGGGAGTTATGAAACTTCTCAGATGTGAAAAGTTTTAATATAACTTTTAATGATTTTTATGATATCACACTATGGTATCACTGTTTCATATCAATTGTTTTCTTAAAATAAGTTTTTCAATTTGGGGCTCTTTGGGTGATATTACAATACTGGATGTCTTGAAAAAAAGGAAAAACAGGATGAAGAACAGAGGGGTAAGAGTCTGTATTACAGAGAACAAAGCTGGAAGTTATTCTAGCACTCCTCCAGCAGTGATTACCTGTCAGGACTTCAGGCTGTAATGAACATACATTGGCTCAGGTTATCTCAAGTGAATGGGGTTTAGTGTGAGGGTACCCCAAGAAGCAAGGAGAAAAAGGAATGGTTCCAGAAAATACACAGAAAAGCTTCATGGAAAACTGGCATCATTTTCAGACTTAAGTTGTTTTAGGGACCAACTGTGCAATTACAGAAAATGCATTAGAGCTGCTTGTTTTGTTAGAAGAACATGATTAAATTAGGACTTGGCTAAACTCTGCTTTTTTCCACTTCTGTTATACTTTTTAATGTCCCATACTCAACTTCTTGAGAGAATCTGATCATATTTTGTATAGGGCTCCCTGATAGCCAGAATTCTTATATCATGCAATCTGATAATATTACCCTTAGGTCAGCATCAGCAGTCAGCAGAGACCAGGGTGATGGGGTCACAAAGTACAAAATAATGGCTAACATATACCAGTACCCTCGTGGACAGTTAGATATATAAAGTTAGATTAGGAGGTAGAACATTACTTTACAAAATAACTAAGATTTTTATCCTGAATGGCACTTTAGAGATTCTTTATCTAAACTCCCACCTACCCCCTGCTGTTTCTCTTTATTTTAAAGGTAAGAATATTGAAAGTTAGAAATGATGTAAGTACATGAATATAAAAAGCTTATTCCATTTTCAGATGTCTAATCAATACAAATTTTTCTAACATTAAGCCAGAATGGACTTAGTAGTACTCATCCATTATTAATGATGTACCTCTCCAAGAACAAAAGGCAAATACTACTTCCTCGAAGTATATACTTGAAGTTCAGTATCATGTTGATGCTAGTTTTTTCTTCTCCAGGGGTAAGAATCCCCAGTTTCTTTAGTCATTTCTTATAAGACAAACTACTGAGTTAACCAATTTCCATCCAAAGCACCTACAACACAACTACAGTGTCCTAATTGTGATTTATCCAGTCCATATTAGTGAAAGATGATTATCTCCTTTATTCTGGAATGTTTAAGACTGAACTTGGTACTTGTATCACATTGTTCCCTTGTGTTGAGCTCACAGTTATAATCAGTAATTAAAATTATCAAAGTATCTTTCTCACATGCTGCTTTTACATATTTCTATTTTATACTTGTTATTGCTATTTCAAAATAAAGTATGAGAGTTTAAATTTATCTCTGTAAAATTTTATCCACTAGATTTGACCATGTTTCCAGCCTGTTAGGATCTTTTTGGATCTTGATTTTATCAATCAGTGTTTATATTCTGCCTGGCCAGCTTTCTGTCACCTGCTGATTTTATCATCCATGTACCCATCTGTGTAATTAATAAAAATACCAAGTAACATCAATCAACTATGACCTTGACAATGTTGCCATGAAGACTATATGTCAGTATATCCTAAGTAAAAAATAAATTCTTTATTGCTACAGTATTTCTCTGGTAACTTGCCAGTTAGGAAGTCAAGTTTAATACATCGTGATTTGTTCTTAGTAATCTCAAATATACATGCTCAATAGATTGGCCTTCGGATAGAAATAATTTGGCAGTGGTTGAGAATGGTAGAGATCAGAAGAAAAGCATAGAGTTGGTGAACTTCACTCTCAGGAAAAAAACAAAGTGAAAAGTCAGATGAGTTCTTACCTAACATCTCATCAAGAAACTCAGTACTTAAGAGAACTTAGAAGATTTTACTCTTAAATTCCTGTGTCCTTATTTTGTTCTTCCCTGAATGCCTTCTTGGAGGACCATTAAAATGAGAAAACCCTATATTCTTTTCTTCAGTGACAGAACTAAAAACAAAAACTGGGGGATATTTAAAAAGGGAAGAAAATAATAGATTGTGGCAATACCAAAAAGAAAAGAAAATATACAAGGTACTTGGAGGCCTGTGGCAAGGTAACAAAATGAATGACAAGGTCCTATCTTCTTTGTTTCTCATAGAAACCTTTTCTTTCCTAATTCCTTACAAACTAATTTTTTTAAGTATTTATTTAGAGCGTGGGAGAGAGAGGGAGCACGTGGGGGATGGGGGGGGTGAGCAGCAGAGAGAGAGAGAGAGAGAGAGAGAGAGAGAGAGAGAGAATCCCAAGCAGGCTCCACACTATAAGCACAGAGCCCGACAAGGGACTGGAACTCAGGAACTGTGAGATCATGACCTGAGCCGAAAGCAAGAGTCAGACACTAAACCAACTGAGCTACCCAGGTGCCCCACAAACTAATCTTTAAAATAATCTTTTAGAATCTTGCCCAGAATTGAAAGGTGTCTAGCCTACTACATGTAGTTTGTTCAGTTTTATACACTTGCCTTTTTTGGAAATTAGAACTGCAAGTATTTTTAAAGAGGCTTTTGGCCTGTTTCTCTATGGTAATTGAGATTAGCAATAATTCAGAAGTCCCGTTTGCAGAAAATTTTAATAAACTGAGATTTGATTTATCCAGGAGACAAATTCATTAAAAGCACTTAAGAGCTCACCTTTCGGGGTACTTGGCTGGCTCAGTCAGTACAGCATGAGACTCTTGATCTTGGGGTCATGATTGAATTCCACATTGGGGGTAGAGTTTACTTAAAACTCACCTATTCTGGAATTCAGTTTCTTTTTTAGTACTGAAATTTCTAAACTAATGAGGATTCTTCTTGACCAAAGAGATGGGAAGCATTTATCTACCAATCTGTTTTGTAATTTAATATAGCTATTACAAGATAGTGTGTAAATGTGCATACATTTGTAATCACATTATTTTACCATGATGAAACATATAATGAGGATCCTGAATATACGGATTTATCTTTATCTTCAAGGTATTAGGTACTTAAAATATTTTTATCCTAAATACCTCTTTAAAAATTGTGATGCAACATCTCTATTCTTCAGCAAAGTGACTCAACTTCATTAACTTGGATTTCTGTCTAGCTACATTTTGATTATATACCACATTGCTGAATTTAAAAGCAGAAGTTCAGACCACTGGAAGACTTAAAACAGTTCTTGAACTGTTAGAAAAAGCAGAAAACAGTTTTTTTTTTCCTACCAAATTTACTTGTTAATCATTCAACACAAATACTCCTAAACTATACTTTGTTCATGGTCTGTTTATCAATGTAGATGTACTTCTAAAAGCTACATCTGCTAACTTTTTAAGTCATGGTAATGGTAAGAGGGAAGAAAGGCAGAGAAAATCTTGTGTGAGCAGCCACGGAGCTGATCTTAACAGACAGGTTTTCCTGTTATTTATAGAAATAGAGCAAGTAAGTACCACATGTTAAACCTGATTCTGTAGGAGTAAATTTGCCTCAGATGATTAGGGGTAGAGGGGAATTGAAGATGGAAAAATTAGTATCTTTTTTGCAACCTGCTTAGGAATTTTTACTGTCCTTCCAGATAACTTATTTTTAGCAAAGAAGAATACCAAGGATGCAAAGGATTCAGCATATTTCATAGGAAAGCGGGTATATTTATAAAAATTATTTTTGTTTTAAGTTATCAGAGTAGAAATTGGAATAAATTTTAAAAATAAAATGCATTTGAAGGGCACTTGTATAGCAAAGAATTGCTTTTGTTGACACTTGGAACCTGTTATACTCAATCACTTTAATCTGCATGCAGAGAAACCCTTTGAACTCTCATATTTGGCTACCTTCCAACTTCCACAGTCACTGTACATCTTGCTATGTTTCATTACATGTAATGAAATGTATGTACAGGGCCGCTGTGGCACTTTTATAGATTAAATACAGCCACAAAAGACAGGATTTGTTTCCATATTTAAACTATGCAAATGCAGAAAAGTATTTATTGTCTGTACTTCTTATAAAGGCAGCCTATAGGCATTTTGGAGCTTTGATTTTCAACCAGGAAGGAAATATAAATTTGGAAACTTACCCAGAGATTAAAAACTCGCATCTTGGGTATGGCTGAGGAAATTGATTTTGACTAACAGAAAAGTTTATTAGCCCATATAGTGTTTAAAAAAACAAAACACATAAAAAAAGACTTCTCTTCAAAAGACAGACAAGACTCCTGCTTCTAAGGTAGAATAACATGCACCAGATTTACCTTCCCACCTGAAACAGCCAAAAAATTGACAAAGTATATGAAACAAAGGTTTTCAAAAGAGTGGACATAAAGCAATGAAACACTGTGATCCCTGAGAAAAAGGAAACAAACAAAAGTCCTACAGTTGTCCTAACTCAGTGTCTCAAGGTGTCCAGGCAGCTTCACAGGGAGGGAACCCAGACAGAGCCTAGCAAACTCCTTGTATTGAAGAAATGGAATTGAGAGCCCAAACAAGACAACTAGAGTTTGTAGGAGAGTAGAGGGCTGCAGAGAGAGAGTTTTTCGGAGAACCACAGAGGGGATACCACCAACCCCTGCCAAGTACTCAGCAGAATACTGATCAGCACACCAATGTGTGAAAATGACCTGAGGCTAGAAAAAGAATCACCCCAAAATTTAGAGGGAACAGTGTTTGGGGTTCATACAGGGCTGTATAGCACCAGATTAGAAAATTTTACAATTCATAGGGCATGAGGTGGAGTATACAGAAGTATCTTGCCTCAAACAGTACTCCAGTCCCACGTAACAGATCTTAAAAGCAAACCAAAAGAGATCAGTTTCCAAGGAAGTTGATGGAATTCTAGAACAAATAATTATTTATAGTGGTATATACAAGAATATCCAACACCTCTCATAAAGTTAATTCACAAGGATTACCTGATATACAAAACAGCATGGAAATAAAACTCACAATAAGGAGGAAAGTCAAACCAATCAAGAACCAATACAGATATTAAAATTAACAGACATAATCATTAGTTATTATAACTATTTCTTATGTTCAAAAGTAGAGATACTACTTAATAATTTAATAAAATTTAATAATTTAGTTGTTGAGTATCAAGTAGGCTTATCTGTTACATATTATAAAATGACCTCGTTATCTGGCTTTAATTTTTTTCCTCATATTTAGAGAAAACTTTATTTTTTATTTTTATTTTTTAAAAGTTTTAAGTAATCTCTACGCCCAGCATGGGGCCTGAACCCATGACCCCAAGATCAAGAGTCACATGTTCCTTCAACTGAGCCAGCCAGGCGCTCCTAGAGAAAACTTTAAAAGAAGCCATCAGGCATGAAAATAATTTCAAGTGTCATTTCATTTACAGGTCTGCATTACATTTACTGAATTTGGAAAAATGCAAAATATTTGTAACTTTCTTGTTGAAAAGCTAGATAGCTCTGTCGTCATCAGCCAGCCCCAGTTCTATCATACTCCAGGTTCTATTGAGAATCTTCGGTAAGTTAAGCACATCTTTAACTAAATTATCAATTAAACAAAACTATTCAGTGCTAAAGTTCATTGAATGTCATATTAATAATCTCTGCATTTAATTCCTAAGACGGCAAGCCTGTCTTGTTGCTGTTGAGAACGCATGGCGCAAAGCTCAAGAAGTCTGTAACCTTGTCGGCCAAACTCTAGGAAAACCTTTATTAATCAAAGAAGAAGAAACAAAAGAATGGGAAGGCCAAATAGATGATCTCCAGTCATCCAGACTCTCAAGTTCATTAACTGTACAACAAAAAATCAAAAGTGCGACAACACATGTTGCTTCAAAAGTATTTATAACTTTTGAAGTAAAGGGGAAAGAGAAGAAAAGAAAAAATCTCTGAAATTCCAACTAAAATATATTGTATCTTTTTATTTTTATACTTTTTATGTTTGCTTTTTTCATGAATATATATATTGTATAATATAAAGTATTTCTCCCCCAAATCTGTCAGTCCTTGAATCCAGTCCCACAGTATCTAAGCTTATTTTCTATTTTTAAAAATTTAACTATGAGAAATACTGTGAAAACAATGTGTTATATGTGCATACTTTTATACTGACAAGAAATGTTTATATTTCTACTACAGGAATAAATATTGGCAGTTATTAGCATGATTCTTAACATTAACAGAATGATGAGGAATACATTAACTCTTGATAAAAGCAGAGTGAGGCATACTAGGAAAATATTTTGATGCCAGAAATAAAATATATGGACCAGATCCTCTTCACCAGGCTCCTGTGATTATACCAGCACTCTTTAATACAAATAAAAGAAAGTCACATAGTAATTTCAAATTACTTAGTTGACACATAGAAAAAAAGTAAAAAATAAAGTAGTTGAAACTAAGTTTAATAATATTTTATTTAACCTAGTATGTCTAAAATACCATTTCAGCATGTAGTCAATATTTTTAAAATAACTAATGGATATTTATATAGTGTACATTTTATATTGTAACCATGTTAATTCAGATGCTAAATTTTCATCAGAAATAATCTGTATTTATTTACTAAAATGTAGTTGAAAAAATAGATTCACACACACACACACACACACACACACACACACACACAGGTTGTTACAAACATGCTTAAAAGATGTAACTGAAGTAGCAATTTCAAGTAGCAATTTTCAAATTAAAATTTTTAAAAATTTAAAATTCAGTTCTTTGATTGCACTAGCCACATTTTAAGTACTTGAAAGTGGCTAATGGCTACTATGTTGGACAGTGCAGGGTTATACACTGAGATAATACTGATCTTAAGACTGAGATGTATAACAGCAAGTACATGGCATTGCTACTGCACTGCACATTATCTACAGATGATCATAAACCAAGACTGTTACTTAGCACAGGCTTCCATTTCTCACCATAGAGTTATACAGGTCCTAGCGTTCTTCCTTTGATATATCTTGATACTCATATACCAGTATTTCTTCCCTATAGCACGCTCTAGAATGTAGTTTACATCCCCACCCACTTTCTTAAGTGGCACTGAAACAATTTATCTCCTCTATAGTGTGTCCTTGGCAGGAGGGAGTGTAAAAGCTAAGAAGAAAAGTTTTAGATTGCAACACCTGTGTTCAAATCCAGACTTTACTACTAGAATGTAAGCTCCTTTAGAATGAAGATCTTGTCTTGTTCACAGCTGCATTCTCAGACCCAGCATAGTATCAGGACCAACACAGCAGGCTCTCAAATATCCGCTGTGTGAATTTACCAGAGGTGTAAACTTAGCCAGGCACTTTCATCTCTCTAAGCTTCTCTTTCCTCACCAATGAAATGAGGCTAAATATCTACGTTGCAGTGTTACTATAAGGGTTAAAGCTGATAAATACAAGACCACGAGAATAATACCCAGCACCACAGCTGTCACTCAACAAATGGTTGCTATTATAGCAACTGCATTCTTTGATTACTATCAACCCAATTAAAAGTTGGCTCTTCCAAGTCTTCCATTAAGATGAATTTAAAGAGTCATATTAAAAACAAAGTTATCACAAAAACAGTTTAAGATAGGTTTTTATTTCCAAAAAACAAAGCTAAATAAATTCCATTGTAGCTTTTATTTATCCAGTGGGATAGGAAAATACTGTGGGGGTTCAACATCAAGAAAAAAATTGTTTATACTCAATAAACAATTATATTTGTAGATTTTTATTAGCTGTATCTTTATTATAATTTGGTTCCATTATATTTGGTAAAGTTTTCTACTTAGCATGAAATACCTAAAAACAAATTTTAAGTTACCAAATAGTTTTTAGAATTTACATGATTTTTTAAAGATGTTGCTTAAAAAAAAAAAAGGCCTATAAAATGGGCAATGCTACAATTCTGTACAGCAATGAAGAGAAAAAAATCCTTCAAAGATTGGACTGGCTTATGTATGACATCCTATGTCCTTAAGACTAACGGTATCAAATTCAGTTGTCAGCTAACAGAGCTGAATTTCTGACATGTGGCATATACTAGAGTCTCACAATGAATTCCTCAGGGGACCTGTGCCACAAAGCCTGCTAGAATCAGCCTACCCCAAACTTAATCCTGAAAAAACTTTTTTTCTGAACCCCCTTTTTCTAAAATTTTTTTAAATGTTTTATTTATTTTTGAGACAGAGAGAGAGCATGAGCAGGGAAGGGGCAGAGAGAGAGGGAGACACAGAATCCCAAACAGGCTCCAGGCTCTGAGCTGTCAGCACAGAGCCCGACGCGGGTCTTGAAATCACAGACCACGAGATCATGACCTGAGCCGAAGTCAGACACTCAACCGACTGAGCCACCCAGGCGCCCCTGAACCCTCTTTTAAAAAATCTTCCAGAAAGCAGCAAATTTTAATTGCTATTTTCTGGAAGAAAGAAAAAATTTCCAATTAGGATATCTGAAACAGACCCACTATATTCTAAGCACCTTTGTAAAAGGAACTACTATTAAATATACAAGTTTTCTGAATATTACCGACAAAATTTAGGATTCTATTCAGTTACATGGTAAAGAATACATTTTTTGGAGCAGCAATTTACCTTATTTTAAGTATCAGTGTTCTTACTTAACAGTTAATTTTTAGTTCAATGTAAATAAATAAGACCTGGAAAAATAGTTTGTAATTTAGGATGCTGTACTTCATATCCCATAATTATTGTTATGTCCTCCTCAGGAATGTAGGTCGAGGATATCCTAATTCTGTCTGACATGTTGATGAGAACTTGATAGCGAGGAATTCTTTTCACTGGCCTAAAAATATTAAAACATGAATTAAGAGGTCAAAAATGGGAGTTAATATATTATCTATATTACAAAATTGTGTAGGAGGCAAATGCTTTACTATTCATTCCTCAAAAAACCCACTGTATAAATTAGTTTAAAATAACATTTAATATTTTTATGCATATTGTATTTACAGCCAAATGGCTCCTACCAATAATCTAATGTGGTTTAAATTACTTTACATGTTCAGTTTTGTTTCAAAGACCAGATGGGGCACCTGGGTGGCTCAGTCGGTTGAGAGTCCAACTTTGGCTCAGGTCAGGATCTCGCAGTTCGTGAGTTCGAGCCCCGCGTTGGGCTCTGTGCTGACAGCTCAGAGCCTAGAGCCTGTTTCAGATTCTGTGTCTCCCTCTCTCTGCCCCTTCCCTGCTCATGCTCTGTCTCTCTCTGTCTCTCAAAAATGAATAAACATTTTTTAAAAAATTAAAAAAAAAAAAAGACTAGGATTCACAGTGGCTAATCCAAGTCAAACTGTTCTCGGGGTGAGGTAATAGATATTTTTCAAGAGGGATGATTTGTGCTATTTTATTAAAAGAATAATACCCTTGGGGCGCCTGGGTGGCTCAGTCGGTTAAGCATCTGACTTCGGCTCAGGTCATGATCTCGTGGTTCATGGGTTTGAGCCCCGCGTCGGCTCTGTGCTGCCAGCTCAGAGCCTGGAGCCTGCTTCAGATTCTGTGTCTCCCTCTCTTTCTGCCCCTCCCTTGCTCGTGCTCTGTTGTCTCCCTCTCTCTCTTTCAAAAAATAAAAAATTTTTGAAAAAAGAATACCCTTTTATAACTTGTTTATCAGGAGGGTATTTATGTTTCAGCCACTCTTCTGCTGGAGATCTGGCTTCAATATCTCGACCAACAATTACTCCCAGATAGCCATGGTGATTGTGGATGATCACCAATCCCACCTCAAAATAGTGTCCAGCCTATCTTAGTTTCCATACTAAGGGATGAAAAGCCCAGGAGGCAGGAGAAAGTGCTAGCCTAAATGATCCTGAAACCAGTAAGTGATCCCTAAATTTAAAATAAAAAATCCTCCAAATATCATGCTACTTACCATCTGGTTGGTGGTGGAATGTGTGTGTGTGTGTCTATTTTTTAAAATATGAAGATTGTATCACTTATCCTCTGCTTCCCTTCTGCAAACAACTTTGAGCAAAGAGTTAAAAACAGATAAATAGTGCCAACACTTCATACATACATCAGGTTTACACTGATCACGTTAATTACATACTTATGTTTTATCTGTCTCTATATAAGACTATGAACTCCTTAAGATCTGGGCTATATCTTAAACATGTCTTTTCCCACTATCTGGCTAATAACAGGCTAAGAAGAGGAAAAGCTGGCTGTCAGATCTTTTGTTTTATTCCCTATCAGAGGGATAGCGTTTATAGAAGAGTACAATGCTGGTACACATAGAAGTAGGGAAGGAAAATGCAAAGCACTGGTTCTACAACGTATGTTCAGAATGCCCATTTTATCTCTAAATGGGTATGCTTTTATTTCTCTAAAGTTTAGCTTTCTCAGAAAATAAGTCTGTGGCTATGCAAAAACATATTTTGTTGTCTAAACTAATCTCTTAAATTATTTCAGAACCTATATTCACTTTAAGCTTACAGATCTAAGCTATAGGCTCTAAGTGTCCACCTCTGCCCTTTAGCCACCTGCACAACTGAGTCATTATCACTTGTGCCACACATGCCTCACCAATAGAACAAAATACACTGCTCAGGGAAAGTTGCTTTTGAAATTCTGACTGCAACCACTATAAAAGTGCATCTAATAAATTAAGTTAACTTTTAATAAACAGATGCTTAAATTGAATTTGTTTCCATTAGCATTAAATTTTACTTTCAAAGCTTATTTTAGAAACCCATATTTGTATTTAATAGCAATAACACATTTGTAGTTCATACAAAAAGGTTTGTTTTCCTTTTATTGAATCAGTCACATTTACTGTAATTCATTTAAAAAGAATTGGTACAACAATTCAAATATATCACCTCTAGCCCAAGTAAATAGCATCAAAAGAAAATTTTTCTTAGTTTATGCTAAATTAATCATGGAAAGTCTAAGATATTCTATATTGGAGTGGGGGTAAGGTATAATTAATGCTGAATGTCAACCAAATAAAATACAAAATTATTTTTAATATATCAAGTGTTTCACCAGCTCAATACTAAAGTAAGCATAGATTTCTTTTTCATCATCATTGTACCTATTTCTAAAATTATAAAGATGAAGTGATTACAAACTGATGTGTCTCTACAAAGAAGCCAATATGAATATGCAGTAGAAACCTTTAAAAAATGTACTTGCAAACCATAGAGGTCAGCATGTATTTGAGGAATGACTATATTGGTTTCATTCTGTAGGAATGTTGAGATTTCATAGTACCCCAAAATGTTACTACTCTTAAACATTACATTCATTTAAAACATTCAATTGTTTACTACTTCATTTGAAT